ACAACCTCAACCTCTAGATGCAGACAAGCAAAGGAAGCTATTCTCAACCTTTAAGATGCTCTTAAGCCTATATCACTATATGAGAAACCTATTCTAATGCAACATACAGTCAATCAGTCACACAAGCAAAGCAGAGCAGCAAGAAAATATAGCAGACAAAACTAGCAGCCAAACAGTTCAACAGCAAAGCAGATACACAACAAAACAATCAACAGTTTGCAAACAACTTCAAGTTCAAGCCATCTTCAAGAGAAGTCTTCATCTTCATGCTTCAACAAGCTCCAACATAAGAGAAGATAGTGATCATCTAGAATATTGATTGATGATGGGAAGCAGGAAGGAAACCAAAGGAATCCCTTCTGACACTCAACCAATCATCAGAGAAAGGCATCCTCAAAGGTTCTACCTCTTGTGAAATGCCACACATCCTTCCAAAGGAAAGATGAGGCTTTCACATAGGGACCTTGAATCATAGGATGAGAATGGAAAGCATTCAAAGCAATCCATGTTTCATGTGAAGAAAGAGAAAACAACTAAGCTATTCCTAAACCCTAATTGAACAGGCCCAAAGAAAGCAACCAAAGGGAGGCCTAAACACCAAATCAAGCACCACCCACAAGCAAACAGAAGCTTAAACATGTCTAAAACACCATCCAAGAAGATTAGAAAAGCTATCATGCACTAAAGGCAACCATTGAAGTCAATCTAAAGCAAGTGCTATGTTGAAAACAAATTAAAACTATTCTAAGTATTAAATCTATGAAAAATCCTAAAACACCTTCTATAATCCTAAAAACATTTCTAATGGAACCTAAGTATGTTAAGGACCTATGGGCAAAGGATCAGAACCTTAATCTAAAGGGAAGTCACCTAAAGAAAACTTAGATCACAAGGTACCACATAAGAACCCTAAAATGGAAAGTCTAATGATCCTAATCCAAAACAGAACCTATTTTTGTCTAAAAAATCTAAATTAAATCATAGGGGATCATGCATCTCTAATCTACCAGCTAGCAAAAAATCAGCCCAAGATTCAATACCAATTGCAAGAAAAAAAATCAATAAAAACATGTATCAAATATGCAAAATTAAAGAAATTAATAAAATGAAGAAATTCAAATTAACTGGAAAATCCAGCAAAAATAAAATGTGAAAGCATGGAAAAATCACAAATTAAATCTAGAACATGGAGATATTTTTATATTAATTTTCTGATGAAAATTGAAATTAATATGAATTTTAGAATGAAAATGCAATTACAATAAAAAAGAAATGAATTAAAACAAATAAAATGCAAGATTAAATGGGAGGCGTTGAATCAATTGACTCAGTCTCCTAATCTAAGGCTTGCCAGCGCTCCACTTCAGCTACCACATCAGATTAATGAAACGGTTGCATTTCAATCCAAAAACTCAAATCCTCAAAATAACACGTGGTCGTTGGATGTGCATACAAAGTCCATCTTCAGGCTAGATCCAAGGATGGAGGAGTTGTCTTCTTCGTTTGAATGGGGAAAGGGAGGGAGAGTTGCAGAGGTGGCCGGAGATGACCTCCGGTCATCTTCTCCGGCGAGCAAACATTTGCAGGTCAGGGAAACTCAACAAAACTTATACAGATCCACTCCAAATTCCACGTAGAACTCAAATATGATCTCCATTTCTCTCAACACTCAACAGAAAATGAAACACGAAGAAGATCTTAAAATTCAACTCATTATGAAATCTCACCAATCCTCAAACTAAAACTATAGATTTGTTCCTCTTGTTACACTGATAAACCTAAACTAAATAGATCATGTAGAATCCTCAAGATCAGGCCACACCAATTCCAAACAGAAATCACATCGCATCCTATTTTGTCTCTAATCATCCATATTTCTATCCACAATCCATCTATGTTTCAACCTAATGCTTAAACACATACTAATATATGCTAAATCATGATGAATCTTCAGTAATTTTGAAAACTACATACCTGGTTTTGAGCTTCAAATTGAGGCAGTTATGAAGTGTTTCTTGGCTTCAAATCGTGCAGAAACTTTCAATGAAGTGTGCTGAAGAAGAAGGACACCTTGAATTGCCTTGGAAACCTCTCAATCAGAATTCACGATTCTCACTTTTTACTCTTGAACTCACACTTCAATCTCCGCTTCCAGCACAAAAATCAATCACCAAACTTGAGCAAAACCTTCTTCTGAACTTAAATAGAGATGGTTTATGGGCTTTTGAGGTCTAATTGAGGCCCAAATCCAGAAATCCACATTTCACTTTTCTTTCAAAAACTCAACCATGGAGAGCACGAATTCTGGCTCAAAACTTCCCTTGGAAGCTTTCATTCTATCCCTTGTGGTCTGGTGAGAGTGTCTAGAGTGATTAGAGAGCTTGAATTCATCCCATGACCAAGTTGTGAAGTGTTACTTATTTGTAAAGTTACAAGTCAAAACACCATGAAAAAGACCTCAAATGAAAATTCTAAAACTGCCAAAGTACTCAAAATGGTTTTTCTGATTAAAATGAGTACCCACTTGCCTTGTTTTAGCACAAAATGAATTAATTTGAGAATTTTCACTTAAATGCCTTTAAATTCTTCCTTTTGCAAAATTTCTCAAACCAAGTCTCACCTTAAACCAAATAAATTCCTCATGAGGACATGGTTGACCTAAAAACATCATTTTGGGCAAGTTTCATGTTGAACAAAATTTCATTTGAAGCTTGCAAGATGGAGAAAATGACCTATAATGCCAAATGACCTATAATCTTACTTTCTCAAAATACCCCTAACTTGTAAACCTCATAACGTGAGTTCTACAAATCATATGGAAGACTTCTAGTACAATTTGGAAAGCTAAGATCAAGACCTACAACTCTCATGTTGGCAAAAAATTCAAGATAAACACCCTTCTAGGTCAAAGGTTCCTTGGAAGTTGGTGAACTTTCACAGACAAATTTCACATTCCTCAGATGACCTGTAACTTGTCTGGGTCATAACTTGAGTTCTATAAATCCAATGGAGGACTTCTAGTACTCAAATTAAATCTAAGAGCATGCTCTACAAGTTTCATGTTGACCAAAAGTGGAGATGAAACTTGCATCTTGAGATACGTGGTCTTGAAGTTAGGCACTAAATATGGGATTTTACCCTGAGAACCCTAATTTAGCAACTCCTCACACTTTGAATTCTTATTGAATAGATCTTGGAATATCATCTCATGTATCTCAACACAACTATCCATGATTACAAAGACTTAGAATTGAGCTTTGATCCTCTTGAATTGCACAATGGACTTAGGGTTACTCAGATGAAAACCCTAATTGCAACACCCTCAACTGTGGCTCTTCACACTTGGCATAATAACTTGATTGAGCTCCACCATGACCCTCAAGGCACTCTATGAGCTCTATCCACACCCTCTCTCCTTGATCAAGGCTCCACAACCCACTGATGATCTTCAATTGGTCCTCAGATTAGGAGATTAACCCCATACAAACAACTGAACTTCTCAAGAACACAACCCTCTTCCTGATGACTTTGGTGACTTCTCAAGCTTGAATAAGTCCTCTAGATAGGCTCCTCTTGATATAAACCACACTTGATCCCCTGCACCAATGAACAATGCTATGCTATGCAAATGTTAGATCCATGATATGCCAATGCAATGAAACATAAACCAAGTAAGAAAAGGTTAGACAAATTTTGGGGTGCAGCAACATGTTACATGCTCTCTTCAATCATGAACAACCTATTTGCTAAGAATTGTGAATTACGCTGGTGCTCTAGATTATAGACGATGTTCAACAAGTTAGTGGTTCCCTATACTTCAAGACTGACCTGAAATAGCTAAAGACCATAAAACATTTCCTATCTAAGCATGGTATGCAATAGAGGAGGTCGATGCGATTGTTAACCTTGGTGAATTTGTTGTGCATATTTGAAGAACATGAGAACCTAAAATGCTCATTAACTAACTCTCGGTGGAGTAGGATCTTGCTGCATATGGTTATAAGAAGACACCTCCAGAACTGGATCGTCTTTTACCTAAGAAGGAGGAGGAGGCTTAACAACTTCAATGTCTGCTTGCCGTTGAGCGACAAATTGAGTAACTTGGAATACCACCATGCTTGATGAACCTGATAATGAATTTGTTAAAGGAAGATGTTGACACTTTGAGAAGGAAGATCATGGAAAATAGATCTGAACCTTTAGAAAAGAGATATGAATTTCTAAATTGGAAAAAATCTAGACGTGGAATTCGCGGGAGTTAGTTGTCATTTTCTACTTATGGTGCCACTACTCGTTTTAGAACTAGAAATTATCGGTTAAACAATGAGGTAATACTTCACTTAGGTAGGCTTGAACTTCTGACGCGGTGGAGAGAGATGACTTGCAAAGTTAACACCCCAACGCCTAAGTAAGTGAGAAAATAATAAGTATTGCGTGAATGAAACAACTGTTTGGTTGATCTAGACGGTGAGTGATACCTTAAAGATGAGGTTATATGCATTAGACAAGAACGGAGAAACATCTATTCTTCATGCTCACTTGTTTCGCTTTGCCTCTTAGTTTCTGCCTTGAACTTTGTGAGCGGCCAAAACAAAATATTTAAAATAAAATATATTTTAAAGATAATGTTAAAACAACTTTTATATATATATATATATATATATATATATATATATATATATATATATATATATATATATATATATATATATATATATATATATATATATATATATATATATATATATATATATATATATATATATATATATATATATATATATATATATATATATATATATATATATATATATATGAAAAGAAGAGTAAGAAGTGTAAAACACACTTTATAAGATGAACATTAGCCGACTCAACATGTTTGTCTTCTTGTTCTGTTTCTTCCACCTACAATCTCAGTATGTTAATACTCTCTTGTTGTGAAACCATTATTTATAACAAAAACTAACATTATACTATTTTCTATTTCTTCTCATTCTGTAATGGATTTGGCCTTCGCTCCAAAACCCCAAACTTTGTTTCTCAAGCCACCTTCTTCTTTTCTCTTTCTTCACAACAACTTCCGTTCTTTGCGTCCTCTTTCTGCTTCTAAACATCTCAAGATTCAATGCGAACTTGAAGGCAAACTCAATGGTTCTCATTCTGCTGATTTTGACGCTCGCTTCCTTGATAGGGTATTCTTTTTTCTTTCTTTCTTTCTTTCTTTATTCATTATTTTTCTTTCATTTTCAACCGTTTTGCTTTTCTGCGTTTATTTATTTAGGTTAAATTTTACTTCACTTTTTTTTGTCGTGTTGCTGATTTTGAAGTCATAGTGTTTGCTTCAATTACTGTGTTATGCTTGCATTTTCCATTGGACTTGCTGAATAGCTTATACTAGTTTGGATTTAGGTTGTGGAATTAGCATTGAAAGTGTTGAGACAATGTTATGTTTGCATTTTATGCCATTCTCTATTGAACTAACTGTGATTCTAACTAATGACATCATTCTTACAAGTTTTTTCCATTAAACTGTTATCCAAGGATTTAAAAAACCCGTAAAGGCTTTTGCAATTTCAGTCGGTACAGGTGGTTGGGACACCAATTGCTTTCATCGCGTTGTGAAGTCAATTTCGGTCGGTACAGGTGATTGGAACACTGATTGCGGTCGTCGCGGTGTGAGTTAACCATAATTTGTTCTATAACATAGAAAAACCTTGAATAAGGATATCGGTATTGACATCTGTCAATACTTTTTTGTCGCCACTATGTTTCGGGTCATGAATAGTTTTTTAAAACCTTGCTTCTATCAGTAACTAGGAGCTGTTAAGCCCTTGAGCGTTTTTGATATGTGGCACTTATGTCAATACTATTAAGCCCTTGGATTTTTTTATATTCAATGGGGTTAGTGTATTTTGTTTAAAAGATTGCACTCTCTCTGCTGTCTTTCCCCCAATTTTCGAATTGGTCATTTTTTTTGGGTTGTAGTCATGTATGCTTACTGAATATATAAAAAGAGACAGCATCGCAAGGCATGCATTTAGGATATATATATAGAGAAAATTGTATATTCTTCTCTTTGGTGATTTGAACATGTATTTTGAATCAGTATAGAAGTGCCACTATGAAGGATAGGCCACATAAAGGATAGTCAAATAATTAGAGAAAGAGGAAGATTCATTTAACTTGATAGCATTTAGGATATATAGTTCATTGTTTATATTAGTAAATGCTTTCTGATAATTGTTCTGTTGAAAATATGATGTCATCTTGCCAATAAAACTAGTAGGTTATTTGTCGCTTGCCAATAAAACTAGTAGGGTTTCACTTAATAATCGTTATGTAATCTTACTAATGTAGAAATATATTTGATTTGACAATTTAATTTCTGTTCTAGCAAAAGGCACTGGAAGCAGCAATGAATGATATAAACAACTCTTTCGGAAAAGGTAGTGTTACGAGATTGGGCAGTGCAGGTGGAGCTTTGGTGTATGTATCTTCTTCACATTCTCTATCATCGGTCTTACTATTATTTTCTGTTATTTAGATCACATAACATGACAGATTTTCTATTGTCTGGAATGTTGTAGTGAAACTTTTCCCAGTGGATGTTTGTCTTTAGACTTCGCTTTGGGCGGCGGTCTTCCAAAAGGAAGAATTGTAGAGGTATTGACCATATTGACTCTATAGCCCTTGATGTTGATGGAGTATAATATACTCATTATTTATTTATTTATTGAAGAGTATGATATATTCCGTGCTTAAAATTTATTGGAGCATGACATAGAAGTTTGTTAGGCTTTGAAAAGACATCATCATCTAAGCTATATATGATTTTATCATTAAATATGTCCCAATTCCGTTCTTTATTTACATTTTCTCGGCTCTTCTATTATTATTTCTCCTAAAGTAATTTATTCTATAATGGGATGCCGACATTATATGCTATATCTATTTCCAGATATATGGACCAGAGAGCAGTGGGAAGACCACCTTAGCACTTCATGCTATTGCAGAAGTACAGGTAATTCATCTGGAGTTTTCCCAATCTATGATTCCCAATGATGATTATTGATTGGAATCAATGTGCAATGTTGTTTATGTTTGCGCAGAAGTTAGGAGGCAATGCAATGCTTGTTGATGCAGAGCATGCTTTTGATCCAGCATATTCTAAAGCATTAGGAGTGGATGTAGAAAATTTAATTGTGTGCCAACCAGATCATGGAGAGATGGCTCTTGAGAGTAATGGTTTTGACTTCTGTTGTGTTGGAACGGATAAATGATTTTGTTGGTGCCCATATGGTGTCTATGAATTGATTGAACTTTTCCTATTGTAGTCGCAGATCGTATGTGTAGATCTGGTGCCATAGATCTCATTTGTGTTGACTCCGTCTCAGCTCTCACTCCCCGAGCCGAAGTTGAAGTAAATATCTGATTTTCTTTATTTTAGGTGATTTCATTAAATCATTTACAGGATTGCCTTTCATTCTAACCAAAATTTCTATTTAAATGCATAGGGTGAGATTGGAATGCAGCAAATGGGACTGCAGGCTCGTCTTATGAGCCAAGCTTTGCGTAAGATGTCTGGAAATGCATCTAAAGCTGGTTGTACGCTTATATTTTTGAACCAAATAAGATACAAGGTACTTGTATTTGGTTATATGTACAATGATATATCTCACTGAAATTAAATCTCTTGCTTTAGTTTATATGGTTTATTTTTCTCTTTACTTCTGAAGATTGGTGTCTACTATGGAAATCCTGAAGTGACAAGTGGTGGAATTGCATTGAAGTTTTTTGCATCGGTTCGGTTAGAAGTTCGTCCTACAGGGAAGATAAAGTCTGTAAGTACAATGGCTTTTTCATGATTATTTGTTCCTAATATAGTCTCTTGATTATAATATCAAGATTGTTTAATATGAAGAACTACTTTGCATTTTGATTTCCTTTTAGGCCAAAGGAGATGAAGAAGTTGGCCTTAAAGTTCGTGTAAGAGTGCAAAAGAGCAAGGTAACCACAACATTTCTATATTTGAAAAATTTCCGTTTGAGAATCACTTTTTTGTAAACTAAAATAGCTTATGCCAGTTATTTGTAAACTAAAAAAAATCACTTTTTACCCACCCTTGAAATCACTTTTTTCTAAAACTAAAACAAGGGCTGTAAAGTCTAGATTGGTAACATTAATTAAGATATTGAAGTATTTTTATATACTCTATCTGAATCAGATAGAATATATAAAAATACTTCAATATCTTTTTAATTTGGAGGTAAATAATTTGAGAATTTGTTTTAGGTGTCGAGGCCTTACAAAGTAGCTGAATTTGATATCTCATTTGGAGAGGGAGTTAATAAGCTGGTGAGTGTTGGAACATAAAATCACTTTTAACATTTAGCAAATACCATTATTTTGAAATTTCATTTTGAACGCAGGGTTGCATTTTAGATTGTGCAGAAATGATGAATATTGTCTTAAAGAAGGGCTCTTGGTACAGTTATGGGGAGCATCGGTATTGTCTGAAACTTATGGATGCTTAATATTTATATCTTTGATGACCTCTTCGATTATTCTGCTGTGTTTTACATCCTTCACTTTTCTTTGGTTTCCAATTGTTTGTGTCTCGATGATTGGTCGGTTCCCATGTCTTAATGGTGATCATCTAAATCTATATCGTGAAACAGGTTAGGACAAGGAAGAGACAAAACATTGCAGTACTTGAAGGAGAACCCGCATCTTCTAGAAGAAGTTGAAAAGGTTGGATGTTCTGATCCTGCTATGTGCTATAATACTCTATATTATTAAATTAGATAGGTGTTGTATATTCTTCTGTCTCTTGTGGCTTAATAGTTGGCATTTATACCAGTGGTGCAACACTATCGGTTAAAACTTCTGGGCGCGTATACTTTGGTTCAAACACTATCGTGGGGAATAGATTTAGATGGTCTGGGCATGTAGAGAAAAAACTTGTCTATAGATTTTATGATAAGAAGAGTAGTCAGATGGAGATAACTCAAACAACTAGAGGAAGAGGAAATAGATTATAAGAGAAATTATTAAGAAAGATTTAGAGATTTATGATTTGGATAAAAGCATGATCCTGAAAAGAACATTATGACAAATGTTGATCCATGTAACCGACCCATTTAGTGAGATAAGACTAGATTGTTATTTTATTACATCAAAAGCATCATAGTTATTTTAATCTTGGGAATATCTTCCAAGAGTATTTTGTCATTATTATGATTTCCTTTCTACTTTATTTGTTATAGAATGAAGAGTCTGAAGAGTCTTAGTATATCTATATAGTGGTTAGTGCTTGGGAATCTTCTTGTATATCTATATTCAGAACTGAATTCATTTTGAAGTCACCATTTAATGTTTATATGTCTTGCATACAAGATATGTAGGATTTTAATAGCAATCATAAATTAATTTGCAGGTAGTTCGGTCTTCAATGAATGATGGAACTAACCAAACTAGCTTTTCACATATGAAGAATAATCCATTGCTTCAACATGACAAAGATATATATGAGGAAAGTCTATGACGATAAAGTTGTTGTTGTTGTTAAGTTTGGGTGGTAGATTGCAGGTTTATAGAAATTGAAAATATTCTTTCTTCCATAGAAATGGAACTGGAGGTGTCTTAGATGATTATGTTGTTTGGTTTTTTTATCCTGTTCCATTGGTAAATGTTGTGGACACTGAAGATATATGAATCATGAGAAACAAAAAAGAAAGGTAAAATTAAAATTCTAATTAGTGAATTATTGGGTTTAAACTAGCAATTTGATATAATTAAGGAGAATAAATTAAAAAATCTAATAATAAACACGGGGTAAATTACAACTCTTGTGTATTATATGTTGTTAAATTAAACTTTTATTTTTATTGGGTGTAAATTGACAAATTTTATAATAGTTGGTATATGTCGCAACTGCGAAAAACAATCGGCGGAAAATAGAAGAGTTGTTACCGAATGTTATTTATTCCGACGAGAAAAGACAACGATCGAAGAAATTTCAAAAAGGGAGAAGACATGGTCTCGCAACCAAATTCTGAGTTCGGGAGTCAATTACGTGAGATGAATGTATTAGCACTCCTTCGTGTCCGTTGTACACAACAGAATTCACTCTGGTTGTTCTAATCAAAGGATGTGTTTATCTAAAGCTTATCTGCTAACGGAAAAGGAAAAGGAAAAACAAAAAGGAGATTCGATAGGACTTTGCCGTTCTAGGCCTACGTATTCTCTCGTGTAACGGGAAAGTTAGAGTCAACGTAGTTTGGAGGACTACAGGTGAAAGGAAAGGTTGTTCGCCAAAACTTCGTCTTGTGCCTACGTATCTTCATTCGAACGAGAATGAAGAAGTCAGAGCGTTCATAGTTTGTGAGACCTATCGTTAAGTGTTTTTTATGAGTGATGCTAAGTTCACGTCCCAGCAGTTAGGGTTAATGCCTGTTTGAGGTAGAGCGGAAATAACATGCCCTTTTTAATAAAGGTTTGACAAACAACCCCGAAGGATAAAATGATTTGAAGTTGGTTTATGAGTTTTAATAAAAGTGAATTGACTTTATTTGAAATGCACATTGCACTAAAGTCTGACATATGATCAAATACTTCGCACTAACGATCTAAGGTCTCGTGCACAAAGTATCTTAAGACGAGGTTAGAAATTAATCCGCCCATCTTTTCCCATGTGCTTAAGACTCGTGGAGCACAAGACACATCATATTTATTATGTGTTTTGATTTTGTTTTGAGATGGAAGAGAAAGACGCATGGAAGGTCTAAGGGGAACTCGGTCCTACATGTTATCATGCAAAGTGGTCCTAAAGTTGGGATGCGAAAGGGATCTCTATCCTAATTTTACCATGCAAGGATGAACCTAAGGTTGGGATGCGAAAGGGATCTTTATCCTAATGGTAGCATGTAAGGATGAACTTAAGGTTGAAGTTGAAAGGGAGCTATCCTAATGTTATCATGCATGGATTAGCACCTAATGTTTATCATACTCCAAGCTTAACCAAAAATTAAGTTGGACTAGGAAGCCTCAAGGGAACATGCAAAGGCAAGCTAAAACTAAGAAAATAAACCAAAAACAGTAGCTACAACAGCGCTTCAGCTCAATACAACAGTAAAATCCAGCAACAAGATACACCATTTAACAACATGCATTTCCAAAACAGAACAGATGTAAACACAACACGACAAGCAAGGCAACATTTAGCAGCATGTTCCCAGTACAACAACAGTACACACCAAGGCAGCATGCAATACATCAAAACAAATGTTCATGAATAAGCATCAAGCATGAATAATCATGTAACAACACAACATCAAATTGAGCATGCATCAAAGATTAATCAACCCATAATAAACATGTCCAACATTCAACCATAATCATGTGTTGCAAGAAATAAACAAAAACATGCTTTAACATTTAAACAAATGCACATGAATTTCAAACATGGACGAACATCAAGTAAGAACAATTGATACACATGTATATACAATTAAGCACAAGCAACTAGGCATGAACAAACTCCAATGACATTACACACTTAAAGCGACATGGATAATTCATCAAATCAACAATCAAATCGCTTGAGACGAAGATGCGTTCATGGAATCGAAAGCAAACATGAAAATGAAACATATATCCAACAATGTGAGCATCAAGAATGAGCAAACAAGTAAGCATAACCAAACATCATGAAGAAAGTATCAAGAATGCATCACAATAGTCATGAACATGCATTATGAAAATCAATGCGTCGCGTGTCGAAGAATCACATTCATACTGTAGCGTGAGGTGAAACAACTCAAGAACAATCCACAAATATGCATCATATCAATCCATGAAGTTTAAAAGTGGAAAGAAATTAAAATAAGCTTGAAAATGCACAAAAATCACATTCTGCAACAGTGTTAACCGATTAACTATTTGCAAGGTAAAAGTGGTTAATCGATTAGCCCTTTGAAAATCCGCAGAAAAGACTGGTTAATCGATTAAATAGTTTTTCCTAGCAAATTGTTAATCGATTAACACTGCACCAGAAGCAGAAAATCAACATTTCAAAAGCACTTTCAGTAGCAAATCAATTATCTAATCATCCACATAAATAGGAATGCAATTGTGCATGAAAATTACATCAAATATCAGTAATCAAACACCAATTGAATCCGTCAAACATCAAGATCAATAATCAAAGCAATCAAAGGACCAATTATCATCAAAATCTTATGGATCTACATTGTGAAATACAAAATTAAGCCAAATTAAAGCTAGATCTGAAAATTACCAACCTACAAAGTTGAGATTTGCTTTGGTGAAGTTGTCAAACTGAAATTGATGAATCAAAGCGAGAAAACCAGAGATCTATGAAGCTTTAACAAGAAAAGTTGAAGATCCAAGCAATAATCCAAAAATAAGAAAAAAAGCTCTTCAAGAAGTGATTCCAAAACTCGATCAAGATCCAAATAAGTTGCAACTTCATAATTGAACAATGGATGATCATGTAATGGAGGTTTAACTCAAGAACTCACAAATTGCAATGTACACTTTGTGAAGCTTTTGGTTATGGAGCTTTTGTAAGGGTTTTGGAATGAGAGAAAAAAATGAGAGAAAAATGAGAGAATTGAAATGAGAAGAGTAGTGAAATCAAAAGAGTGAGTGAAGTTATGTGAGGTTTTGAGCAAATTAACTTAAATAAGCTTTAGGTTAGGAGTGTAAATGAGGTTTGGAGCGTGAGTTAAAATTTTAGTTTGGGATTAGGAATGAAATTATTTGAAACTTTGGAGGGAAGTAAAATTAATTTTGAAAATAAATCAAATTTTGAAATCAATTCTAGATCCTTCCAACTGATGCAAAAGGGAAATCAAGTGAACAAAGTGAGCTGAAAAATGCTGCAGTGCTGAAAACTGAAGTTTCTAGGAAAAATATACATTGGTTAGTCGATTAATAATTTGTAAGGCAAAAATGGTTAATCGATTAACACACCAAAAATTTAAATTTCTGTGCCTTTTGGAAGGAAACTTGGAGAATTGACCGTTGCCGCCTGTCCCGAGCATAATTTAGCCTCTGAAACTTGTCATCTGATATTGCACCTGAATACTTCCTGAAATAAACTATGAATGCACTCTTGCACTTGAAATATCCCGCTGAAAAAATACGGTCCGATACCAAATCACCGAGCAAAATAAATGCTGGAGCCTTTGATGTTTGCTGCTTACTGTCGCGGTGAAAATTGGATACCAAGCTATTGATTAGCTTGAATCTAAATTCATTACAATTGGTCTTTAATTTGTCCAAATGAAGGGAAAAAGATCGAATTATCCACAATGCAATGCAAATGCAAAAGCTAGATAGTTATAGGTTCGGGGGTTGGTTAAACTTAGGGAAGGTGCTAACATCCTAAGTTTCTGTAGTACTCTACAGGAACCTCTTGTTTTATGTTGTTTATTGCTAAGGTGTATCTGCTTGAGGATAAAATACCTAATGGTTTATTTCTAAGTATACTTGCCAAGATGTCGCATCTTGTGCCTACATATCCTGATGGGAATGGAATCAGAGTAATTGTAGTTTCGATAAAGGGTTTAAGGAGTTCTTCGACTATGGTCAAAGTTCCTACGGGATAAGGTAGTTGATTGAATGGTTTTAGGAGAAAAGACGAGTTGTCATTTTAAGGGAGATTACTTAATTTAACCGCCACAACTTCGTAGGAAAATAGTCTTTGTATCGTCTTAAGAGAAGGGCTCAAGTACTCGGATTGTCAACAAGTACGCCTCTATCTCTCTTAAGAGAAGAAGTCCCTACATATTGATTGAATTGTAATGGGGTAGAAGTTTTATCTCGCTTAAGATGATTAACATCTTATTCTCTAATTGTTTGAAATAGTTGAATTGAGTTGAATGTGTTTGTCTATGTTGTAAAGATAAAAGAAAAAGGTCCATCTTATGGGGTAGGATCTATCTTAAAAAGATAGACTTGAATGGGATCAAGGATCAAGTGGGAAATATGATGCAAATGAGGTGCATACGCGCGAGTTTTACGTTACGCGCAAGTTCTTCCTTTGGACGTTATGCAATGCGATAAGATAAATTGCGGGAAGGTAAAAGACGATAAACATAAACGACGGATAAAGTAAAGCATACACAAACACATGAAAGCGCTAAGACAAGTGTGTGAATTGCGCATATGTGAATGGAATCGATGCGGGGACGTAAGCGTGCATGATTGATTAAGTTATGAGGAGTTGATTAGTCGAGTTGATTTTAGGAGAAATTAATTTTAATTGAGATTATATTATATTATTTTTGGTGAGATTGATTTTAAGGAAAATGTTGAAATAATTTTATTAGTTTTAGTAAAAAGTTTTGGGTGTGAATTAATTAGGTTCTAAATGGTGATTTTAAATAAAATAGGGTGAGAGATTTTTTATTAGTAAAATTTTGAATTAATCAAGTGATTTTAGATAGAAATGATTTGGAATAAAAATACTTATTAAGTAAATTGATTTTAGTTATTATTATATAAAAGTTAATTTGA